GTTTTGTCGTATTCGTTTATTGTGGGGTTCGTCCTGCAGGATTCGAACTGCCGTGCACCAGTACTTGTCCAAGCTATCGACCACGGGAATAAAAATAGAGTAGAAACGTTTTTACTCGGATGAATTTGGACGCTCCTGTAGTGGCTCGTACTTTTCCTAAAATCGTGGCGCGTTAACGGACACGACTCTAGGAACTTCTACTGTTTTTATTTTTATTTTTTAAACACAGTTACGTGATGGATGATGTATCGCGGCGCAGCCACGTGGAGGAGGCTAGGCAAGCCGAAAACGTTTCTTCGCTATTTCCTTTTATTTTATTTAATTTTAAATTTGGACCATTTCTCGATTTATGCGTGTCATCCTTGCGCCGGGGCCATGCTAATCTTCTCTGTATCGTTCCAATTTTAAGGGATGTCCCGAAGGACAATTCTTTTCTCTATTTCAGGAATCCATTGTGGTCGAATTTTAATGCCAAAAAAAGAAAAAGAAAAAAAAGAAAAAAAAAGAATTTGAATGCCTGCCTGCGGGACCCCTGTTTCCAGCGCAGCCGAATCTGGGTAAATGGCCCCAGTCTCGGGGGGCCAAGTCCGACTACCGTCTTCCCCCGAACATAAGGTGCATGTGTTGCAAACGAATAGAAAGACAACGCACGGGTGTTCTATTTGAACAGCTGGTATAGTAGAATATTCGAATCATCGACTGTTTTTTTTGAAAACTCGAATACAGCGCGTGTGTGTTATGTTCGGGGGAAGTCGGTAGCAGCGTTGAGTTTGCTCATGTACGAATGAATCTGGACGGAGATGTGAGGTTGAGGAAACTCGACGCGATTTCTTCACATTTCCACAAACACGTCCAGATTCAGCCGTTAAGGAAACTGAACGCTTCTAGTGGGACGCGGCCCCGGCTTGAGATGTGGAGGGGATTCCCGGCCTTCTGTGTTGGCATTTGTAATGAATTCATGTGTTTATTGGGAAAAAAAAAGAAAAAAAAAAAGGGCTGCTGGAAATTAGTCAAGGCCAAGTTCCACCAGCAGCGGTGAGTTTGCTCAACACGCCGGAATCTGGACGTGTTTGCGGAGATGTGCGGTTGATGAAAGTCAACGCGATTTTTTCTGCACTTGTCCACAAACACGTCCAGATTCGAGCGTTGATGAAACTCGAACACTGTTACCGGTCATGGAACTTGGGCGCTGAACGGAAAACGCGTGTACAGAAGGACGACGGACTTGAGATAGCAAGAGCCAGGGCCTTCGCGGCGGCACTCAGCAAAATGTGCAAAAAGAGAACGGATCTTCCACTAGAACACGGAAAGATACACACCCCCCCATAGTTGCACCCCCCATAGTTTTTGTCGTTGTTCATGTGGTGAGTGGTGGAGCGAGGCCTATAGTCCAATCGCGGCGATATGTCAAGAATCCATTTCTCTCACTTAATTAATTAATTAGTTTTTAATAAAGGGCGACGGACTTCAGGTATCATCGTCATCGAATCTGAACGCTTCCTTAACGAATCTATTAGGCCGGTTGTTTCTCTCTCATGCTGGTGGTTGGGAAAGGGGAGGGAATGTTCTTGAGAGGTTGGACTGTTTTTGGGTGGAATCGGGTGATGATAGTAAAACCGTGGTGGATATTAAACTGATCATCTACCGAAAAAAAAGAAAGAAAAAGAAAAAGAAAAAGAGGTCTGGATTCTATCGATGTATTAGCACAAATCATCGGTCGTTGGTCTCTCCATGCCTCTGCAGACTTTCTCTTTTCGGGTGTTTTCTCCCCTTTTTTGAAAATTTTCAAGTTTTTTTTTTTTAATTTGCTTTTGGTCTGCCCGATGCGGACACCAGTTTTTGTGCGTGTTCCTCTCCTCCCCCCCCCTCCCCCCCTGGACATGTCTTGTTCTATAGTTTCCGTGCTTCTTACACGAACCAGTTTTTGTGCGGTAGTTTTGGGTAAATCACTGCTGTAGTTGATTCACACGAACCTATAAGTGACGGTAGTGCTATTACCGCGCTATACGAGGTAACAGCTTTTTTTTTTTTTTTTTTTTTTTTAARAAAAAGGWAACCACATTTCAATTCGGGCCTGTGCCGGTAGCCACAGTGGCAGACCACCAACGGGCCTCGGTCATGAAATTGTTTAAGTACAGACCCAAGCTCGAATCGAATCCAGATGCAATCAGATGAACAGAATAAAATAATTATGAATAAAATAATTATGAATTACATGGGGCCGGTCAGATGAATGATCATCGTATCTTACTAGTAATAATATCGCGCTTTTGGATGAGCTTAAAAGAATTACCCTTTTTTTAAAAATAGAATTGCCCTTCAAAAACAGGGATTAAAAAAAACGAAAGTGGCAGGCCACTTTGAAACGCCACAGTTCCCAAAAAAACAAACAAACAGAGGTCCAGGCTCGCGAGCCTTGGATCCTATAAAGCATCGTTACCAAAGCACCTTATTGGTCCCTGGGGGGACATCCGTTACTATGGGAATGATACAGAGAAAGGAGATTAGCATGGCACCTGCTTTTTTTTTTTGCCAGGAGGACACGCATAAATAGAGAAATGGTCCAAAAAAGAAAAGAAGAAGAAAAAAAAGCACCTTGTTAATGGCTGTTGTCTAATTAATGGCTTCGAGGTTTCACCAGCAAAGAGGGGGGGCGGGGCGGGGTGTATATAAAAAGCCTGAATCTGGACGTAGTTGTGCGGACTGGTGCATAAATCGTCTGCAGTTACATTAGGAAGGTGCAGTGTCTGTCTCCTGTTTTTTTTTTTTTTTTTTTTTTTTGATACCTCGGCTTCTCTTTCGGGTCACGATGTGATAGTACCAGAAAATTAGTTTTTAGTTTTTTTGTTTTTTTTTCTAATTCACAGACTTCGCTTTTGTGAAGGGGCGATAGCCTT